TGCTCCCAAGCCTGCAGTTTGTCAGGCCTGGAGCACCAACATCTGCAGATTGAAGCCTTTTTGATGGGGCCATCAGCTTCCTGAGGGATTTTCTTAGGGCTTCGTTGTAAGTTATAAAGATTCCAGACCTGTCCAGTGACTTCCACTGTGTGTGAGTTTGGGCCATATCACACCACACAGGCACTCCTCTGCACTGTGGCCGGACAGAGTCCCATCAGGCAGATATGGCTCAGGAAACATAGTCTTGCCCTGAAAGGAAAACAGCTTTGCAATCAGGAATCTGGCTCAGGGAGCCATAGAACCCCAGGGATATGAGCTCAGGGCTGAGCTGTCACCCAAACGCAGCCAGCCATCACTTGTTTCAACACGCAATTCAGCCCTTCGCCCATGAGAAGCTGCCAGTTCTGTTACTCAGATGAGCTTCTGGGTTAATTTACGCTCATCCAATCAGTGGTGTTGCTTATCAGTGTCTAAGTACATCAACATCAGCCCTTGTTGCTTTGGACTGTACATTTCAAGTGGAGTCAGCATCGTGTACAAACTGTTTTCCAATGAAACCAGGAAACATCCCAGCTACTTTGACATGGGAACACTTAAGCCAGCATTGCCCCCAGTTTCTTATTTATAAATTGTTTGCTTGGTAAAGGTTAGCTGTGACCCCAAGTTAACCTGTGAGCAGTTGTTGGTGGGGGGCGGTCAGGACACCTGCAGCTCCTGCCGGGCACTCACCAGTAGAGGCCAGCAGGTGGCGCTCTGTGCGCTCTTCCAGCACAGGCCTGAGGTTGAGTCCTGCTCATGGGTATTTGGCGCTCTTAGTTTGCATTTAGGTGATGATTTTGCTGTTGCACATGCACTGCATAACTGTGATGTATCCTCAGCCCAAGAAAGCAGATGCAGCTAACAGGGATGTGTCAGAGGTTTGTTCAAACTGAGCTCTGAGGCTGGGTAGATGTGGGTTCAATGTGAGGAACCCACAGGTTGTGTTAAACACAGTGTCTTCGGATAGGGATATTGCTGGGTTGGAAGAATGCTTGCCTAGTATCAGGAAACTCTGGGCCTGATCCTCAGCACCAGGGGTGGTGGCACACACCTGTGATTCCAACACTCACAGGTAGGAGGTGCAGAAGTTCACGGTTGTCCTCAGCTGCTTGGTTTGAGGGCAACCTGGGTTATATAAGACCCTGTCTCTAAAAGGAGGAGGGTGGGGAGGAGGAGGAAGAGGAGGAAAGGGAGGCGGCAGAGGAGAAACAGGGAAAGAGAGGGAGGAGTAAGAGGAAGAAGAGGAAGAGGAGAAGGAGGAGGGGTGGGGGAGGAAAAGAAATAGGGGAAGAGGAGGAGGAAAAGGAAGAAGAGGGAGGAAGAGGAGAAAAATGATGGCCAGGCAGAAATATACATGTTCCAAGAAACACCAATCAGTGCAGCTTTCAATTCTTAGGGAAGAAAACACATTCATCCCTCTCCTATCCGTGTTCCCATCCGTGGGAGAGTGGGGTGAACACTGTATGGGTAGCATCTTTGCCATAATAAATCAGCAGGGGCTTTGTAAAGAAGCCTTAGGACTCAAATGCTGGATTCAGTCTGAGTCCGGCTGCCTGAGGATCTGGGACCTTGGCGTTGTGTCCCCAGAGCTGAGGGCTCCCATATGACAAGCTGGCCTAAATAGGCTCTACCAGATGCCCAGCTCTGCCCATCACCTGGACCAAGGGGCTGTGAGGGAGGGGTGGGGAGGAGATGGGATGGAGAGGCAGGCATGGTGGGCCTCAGTCTGGCTATGGGGGCACAGGGGAAGCAAGTTTGGCCCCTCCAGGGACCATAGGAGGGTCGAGACCCCCAAGCATAGGGGCCAGCCACGGCCTGCGGGCCTCTGCTGGTGCTTCAACAAGCATCTCAGTCCAGCGTGCCAGCCGCCCTGATCCTTCCCAGACTACAAGTTACAGCCTGGCCCTGCCCCAGGGCACAACTACAGACCAACGCATATTGGAAAAATGACCATTATTTTATTTGTATATTTCACAATGGAATCTCACAGCTCAGAACAGACTCGAAGGAGGAGACACACAGCCATCAGCACAGACAGGAGCCCTGGGAAGGGGATGCATTCGCACAGTGCAAGGTGCTCCTACATTTAACCTGGGAGCAGGTACCTTGTAAGCATCAAATCTGAAAAGATGCACAAGTGCTACTCCCAGAGGTCACATGTGGGCGCGTTCTGCACGTGGGGTGGGGGACCGTCCCCTGCAGGATGCAGTCCCAGGCACGACCCATCCACTGCCTTCTGGGGAACAGGGTATCGGGAAGGAGGCAGAGCTGGTGAATATGGCACCATGGGTAAGGCACTCATGGTTCACGTGGCAATGCCTGCCCCAAGAAGAGACCACAGTCAGGGCAACACCCCTTCTTTCTCATCTCTGTCCTGGGCTGCGAATGTCTCACTCCATCCCCAGTCTGCACCAACCCCGTCATGTGAAACACAAGAGCTAATGCCTGCTGGCCACACACGGCACAATCTCACAGTCCAGCCGCAGGCAGGCTCCCTCGAGGTAGCCACGCCAGTGCTCCGGGCAGCGAGGTAGTAAGAGGAGATGTGTGACCCGGAAGCAGGGTGACCTCAGCCTCCACGTGAGCAGTTAACCTCCAGAGGCTCCACCAAGCTCTGCCTGTTGTCTAGACCAAGGGGTGAGCACCAGACTGGATGATCCCATGGGGAGCTCACCCAAGGGACATGTGGCCGTGCACTGCAGTGGCCAGAGTGAGCATGCTGACCTTAGCTTCCTGCTCTGAGGGCTCTGCCTGGGACCTCAGGTCAGCTATAGAAAGGAAAAGATATCTGCCGCCCTCGGGAGTGGCTGTCACTACACTGAAGGGCTGGGCCCTTTATTTCCCATGTTCACCCAGGCTGCTGATGAACTCACTGTAATATAGCCAGTCCAAACTATATGTGCAGAGCCAGGCCAACAGACTGTAGTTCTCCCTCGAGGTATCCATCCCTGAGCCCAGTGCCCTGCCTGGGCCCTCCCCATTCCTCAGGCCATCAAGCCCCTCAGAGGCCACAGTCCCCGCACATCCAAAAGGGTGCCGAGCACAGGCTCAGACTGAAGGCCCAACGGGACAGTGGGTGCACTCGGCACTGGGCCCTCTGTGAACATACCCAGCAGGGTCTGGTCACCCTTCTGGATGAGAGCTTTGGAAGTGACCTGGGGGTGGGGCGCTGCAGCCCGCACAGGATCACGGACGGCACAGTCAGACAAGTCACTGTTTAATAAAAGGGAAAGGGCCTTTGAATCATCTCCAAAGGTACATTGTGCAGAGGGAATTAAAAGTCGGTCCCTTCGTTTTTCTTGCGGAAGGACGTCGAGGACAAAGGCCACGTGGATTAGCTGTTCGCCTGTATAAAGAGGAAGAAAAGATGATGCTACTCTCCCAAGGCAAACAAACGTGAAGGGGTAGTTTACCCGGGTGACAGGACAGACCGAGAAACTGCCACAAGTGCAGGGGGGCAGTAAGGTTACAGAGCAGGAGGTGAGGGCTGGCCTTGGTGCAGCTGCCCAGGGGCCTCAGGTCACTGTCTATCTGGAGATGTCACTGGTGGGTTCCTCGCTCCCTACCTGCTGTGTCTCCTGACAATCAGCACTCGCCTCCCACAAGGTCACACCAAGTGGCATTTTGTCAACTTGACTCAAGCTAGACCTATCTAGAAGGAGGAAACTTCAACTGAGGAGCTCCATCCATCAGACTGACTTGTGGGCATGCCTGGAGGCATTTTTTTTTTCTTATTGATAACCGATGTAGGAGTACCCAGTCCACTGTAAAGAATACCATCCCTGGGCAGGTAGGTCTCAGCTATAAGAAACGTAGCTAAGTGGGGCTGGAGATATGACTCAATGGTAGAGCAGTGGCTACTCTTGCAGAAGACCTGGGTTCAATTTCCACACCCACATGGTAGCTAAAAACTGTAACTCCAGTTCTAGGGACTCCAGGGGAATCTTTTCTGACCTCCTCGGGCATCACATCTCACAGGTACATGCAGGCCATACACTCATACACATAAAATAAAAATAGTGAATAAAATATTTTTTAATAAGAAAGGTAGCTAAGCAAGCCAGGGGGATACAAGACTATAAACAGTATTCCTACATGGTATTCAGCTCTTGCCTCCAGGTTCCTGCCTTGGACAATGTTTCATCACAGTAACAGAAAGCAAACCAGGATATTGGGGCTCCAACAGACTGAGCGAGAACCAGATGGGTAGGATCCCAGGAACCCTGTGCAACTTCCCCTGAACCAAGTCAGGCATTTGAGCTCTCTAGCCATCCCTGGACTTCCTGAGAATGGACTTCCCGGTGTTCCTCAAGGGAACCCCGTGAAGAAAATACCCCATTCTGACACCTCTCTGTTCTCTGCCCCTCACCAAGCATCTGAGTGAGTGAAGGCTGGCGGGAAGGGGGGCTGTGATGCCCAGCTCAGCTAAGCCCGCATTAGCATGGGGAGCAGAGCCCAGGAGGGTCCTGAGGGCGAGTCCAGCTCTGTCATCAGCATAAGCAGGGAGGCCAGCAAGGGTGATGGATGTCCCAGAGAGATGTGGGCGCCACAGGCATGGGGATTATGGAGGGAGGGAGATGGGTGCTCTAGAGGGAAGGGCAGGAGCAGAGGGGTGGAGGGTGATCTAGGAGCAGCCCTGGACCATGGAAAGGTGCAGTAGGTGCCTCCTAGAACTGTGGCTTTGGATCAAGAAGAACCTAGGAATCAGGGAAGTTACCCTCATTTGCCCGTAGATCCAGTCTGTAAACACTGTCACGTTCCCGTACACTCCTGGTCTGTATGCCTTGGCACAGCCCGAGCCCCAGCTCGTGTCCCCGATCAGCCACCAGATGCTGTTTTTCCAAGTGACGAGTGGCCCTCCGCTGTCTCCCTGGGGAACACGAGATGTTACCAAGAAGGAGACACAGCTGCTGCATGCACCGTGCAGAGGACACGGGGCCTGAGTATGAGAGTGTGTGTGGTTCTGTCTCCCCAAGAAGGCAATGGTCATAGAGATATAACCTCCAAAAGGTGAATCTGGTCTGTGCCAGCTAGCCATGACTAAGTGCATTGCTGGCTATGGTTTAAGATGGGCAGAACACACTTCCATTGCACCGATCAATACTTGTACCAAACAGAAGCTCTAGGAGACCATGGTGTGTGGGGTAATTTCTTCTGCCACTGAGGCATACAAGCCATTACTGGCCATCCCACCGACACCCCCAGCTGGCTCCAAGTCCCCAGGAGGTGTCTCTGGCCCCAGTAGAGCCCTGTCTTTCACAGGGACTCAGTGAGAACGGCAAGTTCTGAGGCTGTCTATAGACTTGGGCTTACCTGACAGGAGTCGATGGTGCCCTGAATGTAACCTGCACAAATCATGGCTGGTGTGATGAGGTTGTTATACACATATTTATTGTTACATTTTGAGAGCTCAATCAAGGGCACCATGGCAGCATTCAACACATCCGAGGTTGACCCTGAGGACAGAGGTATCAGCCAGTAGTTCTCACAGGAAGAGCAGACATCTTCCCTGACACCCACACACTCCATAGACGATCACAGGCCTCTGTTTCCTCCCCACTCCCTCCCTGGAATGGTAATACTGTCAACCAGACAGGATCTAGACTCATCTAGGAGACAAAACCCCAAGCATGTCTGTAAGGAAGTTTCTAGACTGGGTGGACTGAAGACAGCAGACCCACCTTAAATGTGGGCAGCACCATTCCAAGGACTGGCGTCCCAGACTGAATTAAAAGGCCAAGGTGAGCTGAGTTCCAGCATGCAGCTCTCTCTGCTTCCTGACTGAGGATGGAATGTGACCGGCTGCTTCACCTTCCTGCAGCCACGCCTTCCCCCCCTCAAGCTGGGAGCCAAAATAAACTCTCTTAAGTTGCTTTTGATAGATATTTTGTCACAGCAAAGAGAAAAGTCCATTCAACACCAAGGCCCACCCCCACCCCACGCTAGGTGTGCTAACAGGTGCTCCCTGTGGCCCCAGCTGGCCTGGAACTTACTAAGTAGACCAGGCTGGCCTTGATCTCCACCTGCCTCTGCCTCCCGAGTGCTGGGATTTTTCTCTGTTAAGCAACCAGAGAACCCAAGGTACAAAGCTTCAGTGAGTCCCTCATCAGCCACTGAGTAGCAGAAGTGAACGTCAAATGCCAACCGCCCTCTGTGGAAATCAGTGTCCCATCCTGTGTGCCTTGCTGGCCAAGGTGCCCCCAAACCTCACCTTTCTCATAGGTGGCCCCCCACCCTGAAATCCAGCACTCCTGGTCTGGGTCCAGCATCATGCCCGGATTGGGCAGACACACCGGCTTCACCACGTCTGTTTTAAGAAGACAAAAGTATGAGCCAGCCGGAGAAAGCCTTTGTGAGGGTGTGTCCTGGCCTCCTTCATGCACAGCCCCTGTCTACGAACCTGGCTTCCCATGTACCCCCGCCCCGCCCCTGCTTCCACCCCAGTAGGCCTGCTTCCATCCTGACAGGTGAGACAATTCCTCTGGTCATTTGCTACTCATAGATGGGATTATGTGCCAGCTCTGTGTCTAAAACATATCACACAGGCCTCCGGGTGACAGGATGGGAAGGACGAGTGATGGTAATCGATGAGAAGCCGAGGACTCCAGCCTGTTCAAACCCTATCTCTCACAGATCAGCTATTCCAGGAGCGAGCTGCTGCCCCACTTGAATACAAGCACTTTGTGGGGAGTGAGGATTTGTTTTATCTGTCCCTACACAGAGCAAGAACATTCCAGACCCTTGAGTGGACAGAGAAGGGGCAAATAAGAAGCTAAGGGCAGGAGTGGGGACGAAGCTCGGCTGGTACAGTGCCTGCCTACCACTTATGACGGTCTGGGTTCAATCCCCAGCACCGCATAAAAGCTGACTTGGTGGCACGTGCCTGAAATCCCAGCACCAGGGAGGTGAACGCAGGAGGATCAGGAACTCAAGGTCACCCTCAGCTGCACAGTGAGGCCAACCTGGGCTACATAAAACCCTGTATCCATTGTGTGTATGTATGAAATTCTCAAAGAATGAATAACAAAAAATGATTTAAAAATAATTTAAAAATGAGATTCTTTAATGTGCAAACTCATTGGCGTTCTTGTTTAAGTACCATTTTTGAAATGATTAGATATTTACAAAATACTGGGAAATATAACACAGGGGAGGGGGAGAAGTTAAGAGAAACGTTTTATATTTACATTTTAATGTATCCTGATTTCACAGTGCATGTGAAAAAAAATAGTTATCTTTACAAATTGGCAGGCAGGAGCTCTCAACTGGAGAGGATTTTGTCACCCAAGGACACTTGGCAATGTCTGGAGGCATCTCTGACTGTCACAACAAGGGGTGTTACTGACCTCTAGTGGGCAGACAACATGGCTATCCATCCTACAAGGCACAGGAGAGCTGTGCTGGATCCTGGCCCCAAATGACCAGAGTGCTTTGGCCGAGCTCTGCTCTGGACCCTGACGAGGACCGATGGAGTCATCGTTTTGCATGATGCACACAGGGTCCCTGCTTCCCCTCCACACACCACAGGCACGAGTGACCTCCGGCGAGCCTAAGCAGCAGCTCCTCCCTTCCGTGCACACCCTCATTTCCAACCTCAGAGCGGCCCCCCTCCCTGCTGACCCGCTCATACCATTAAAAGACAGAGGCGTCTGCAGCTTCATGAGTGCGATGTCGTTGTTCTTTGTCTTCGAGTCATAATTCGGGTGGGAAATCACCTTTTCCACCTGGTGCCTCTTTCCATAGAACATGAGGGACTGTCTGGAGATCCCTGCGAATGCTGTCCAGTACCTTGGGCTGTTGAGGGGCCTGGAAAAATGACAAACAGCATATGATCCCTTGGTACCACAGACACGAGTTGTCTCCTCGGTGGTCTTTAAAACCCACACATGGGGGTTGGAGAGATGGCTCAGCGGTTTAAGAGCACTGGTTGCTCTTACAGAGGACCCAGGTTCAAATTCCAGCACCCACATGACAGCTAACAACCATTTGTAACTCCAGTTCCAGGGGATCCGATGCCCTCTTCTGACCTCTGAGGGCATTGCATGACACGGGTGCATCTACCTACATGCAGGCAATACACTCATACACATAAAAAAACAAATAGGGGCTGGAGAGATGGCTCAGCAGTTAAGAACACTGGCTGTTCTTGCAGAAGACCCGGGTTCGAATCCCAGCACCCACATGGCAGCTAACAACCGTCCGTGACTCCAGTCCCAGGGGATCTGACAGCCTCTTCTGACCTCCGCAGGCATTGTACAACATGGTGCACTTACCTAAATGCGGGCAATACACACGTACACATAAAATAAAAAATAATAAATGAAATATAAAAAATAAAAATAATAAAATATTTAAAATCCACACAGGGAATCCCATAGACACCCCCAAATCCCAGTGTGACACTGTGGGTCAGGGGGCTCCACTGGTCCCTCCCCCACTTCCCTTCAGCCACCTGCTCCCCAGTCTACTAGCTCTCAAAGGATTCTGTTCCTTCTCTGTCTTCTGCATCAGGCCATAAATAGACCTGGAACCCTTCTCTGAGGTTTCAAACCTCGTTTCTGATAGGACTGGGCCTGACTAATCTTTATGCATCAGAGCATTGACCAACACACAGCCTGTGCTCAATGAGTGTGTACTGATGGACATTGGCGTCTAATACCATTTATGCTATTATCCAGGGATTTTCGGAGAACTCCAACTCCCAGAGGCCACTCAGAGTCTGGACGTGAAAAGCAGGAAGAAACGCTTCATGGCAAATAGAAGTGTCTTCCCTAACTTCCCAGAATGCCTAGGGGGAGCAGGGCACCCCTTGTGGTGGTGGGGGAATGTGGCTCAGGGACCCTCCTGAGAGACCTGTCCAAGGCTACCCAGCAGGGAATGGTTGGCCCAGGAGCCAGGCTGAGCCTCGTTTAAGGCAGCAAGATCTACCTGTGGATGAGGTGGGTACCCCCAAATCTAAGACAAGATTATGACGGAAGTGGGACTCACACCTGCACTCAGGCAGCTGAGGCAGGAGAGTCACGAGTTTAAGGTCAGCCTGCGCTACACAGCAAGACCTGGGAGGGAAGGGAGGGAGGGAGGGGTCAGAAAGGGGACCGTGTGCTCCGTAAGAGCAGAAATGATGCAGTAGCACTGTCACCCATCCTGTCTATGACGGAAATGCCACGACCAAGACACCTGGGCACCCAGAGAACCTTCCCTTGGGGTCGTGTGAGGTTGTTGATCATGTCAGAAGGGGCCCTGTCCTGGGGTGAGCATCCAGGAGAGACGAGGCAGAGGGAGCAGAGGCTCCCAAAAGTGAGAAGACAGTGATGGAAGCATCTAGTCACCACTACTGCTGAGCAGCCCCATCCCAAGCCCCATCCCAGCCTGGAGCCCAGCATGCAGAGAGACCAGGGGCGCATTTGCTGGAGTGGATGACTCCAGGTGTCTGGTGTGCAGCAGTGTGTATGAACGCCCCCCGCCCCCGCAGGCAGAACCATCTCCCCATCCTATGTGGAGACTTCCCACCACCCCAGACCTCACAAGGTGTAGACATACTCTTCCACGCAGTGGGCAGCTGTCACGATCCACTCAGGGGTGATGATGGACCCTCCGCAGACATGGACACCTTGCACATGCAGGCTGACCTGCCAGGGCCATTCCGTTAGGGAGGCACTTGATCCACCAACAATCCTGCTCTGGCGGGTCACCGAGCGGACCCCACACTCTGAGGGCGACAAGGACATGTCAACTGACAGTGTGCAGAGGAGAAACCACCTGAGCCAGGGTGATGCCCAGCAGTGCGCCCCACATAGCTGCCTTCCTCTGGCCTCGCAGGGAAGATACAGGCAACACATGACCACATGACCCTGCTGCCTCTCGCTCCCTATTATCAGGGGTCTGAATTAGTAAGGGGGAGATGCTCTGCTAGGACCTGGGGCACTCCCAACCTGACTGGAGCTCTCGGGTGCCTTCATTCAGTACTTGGTGATTCCACAGGAGTGGGCAAGCCTTCAGCAAGACTGACATGCTCAGAGGCCACAAGACTTCTGAACGAAGTAAAGGACCGTAGATAGGGTTGAGAGAGTGGAGGTGGGTGAGGAGGAGGGGGAGGG